ATCGATTATGAATTGGAATTTTTACGCTCCAGCGGGGAGGAGTTGCCTGAGAATTTTACACGTTTAATCCTACCAGTAGATCCGGCTACTTTTAGTAAGCATCAAGTGCAGCTAAATTCAAGTTTCGCTTATTTTGTAACCGAAGAAAAGTGGCACTTTTTGAAATTACAACAGAAATATCTCAAGCAAGGCCTATTCAAGTTCACCGATATTTGTTTCGGTTCCTATCATTTGACCTATCCAATGCAAGCGGATTCGTTCTTGTATCGAAATCTCGAGTACTATATTTATCGCATGCATTCTTCGGGCATGTTGAGCCATTACGAGAGCACAGACTTCGATTACGCCGTGGAGGCGGGGCTGGTGAAACGCTTCGCCGATACTTCGGAGTATACTTCGGCTGGTATGCAGCACTTGGTTGTTGTTTTTTACATGTTGCTGGTTATGTATTGGATATGCCTTCTTGTTTTTGTAGCAGAACTAGTAGTTTATCGAATATCTAAAAATCACAATTCGTAATAATTTCATCGCAATTGGGGAATTTTAAGCAAGTGCGTTTTCAAGTTTAACGAAATATTCATCCACCGATTATGTGAAGTGTTGAAATGTATTCACGTATGTATTTGATTTAATGAATAAATGTGAAGATATTTGTTAAATGATTAGTTCATGTTTGTGAAGATTATGAGCGCAACAGCACCTGTTTGCCTGAGTGTTTTTTAGAATAATCGGTTAAGATTCATATCATCGGAGGGAAATATGTGGTTTGGGTGCACACATATAATAAAATTTCACTAGGAATAATTTTTAGAACATTTTAACTCATTGGCTCCCTACGAAAGGATCGTTTCGATTCGTTATACGTTTTCCGTATAAACATTTCGTCTGAGAATACCCTCAGGAAAATTTTCTAGAACATTTTAAATGTCTAGCGACTTCTCAAATGCCATTTTATTAAAACTTTCAAAACACGACTCGTCCGTCCCAGACATTGAAAATGTTGCACAGTGTAATAAAACACGGAATAGATTAGTTTCATGAAAAGAAATCAATTTAAAATGGTGAACTTCTTCACAGACGGATCAACACTTGGCGGCAGAGTTGGTGTCGGTTTCTTCTGTTGCGAATGCTCGATCAAAACTATGTTCAGGCTTCCGGACTTCTGCAGTATCTTTCAGGTGGAAATAGGTGCCAGCAAGGGAGTGGTGGACTCAGAGCTGAAGAGTGTGACTTCAGTTCAGAAGGTTAGCATATATATACTCGAACAGTTAGGCGTCCACCAGGGCACTGAACTCTATGATGGTGGGCCCTAAATAGGTAAGGGTGTATCTGACATCTCCATCAATCGCATCGGAGTACTGCTTAATAGGACTGCCTGACAGATGACCTGGCAAGGAAAGGCACCCTTGGAACGTTAACACCAGTTAAGGAGCAACTAGGGACGACTCTCTCCTCCTGCGGTAAACTCTTTAACGGTTGGGCCTCGTATAAGCTCAGCGAGCGCTGGGATAATACTAGGACATGCCCCTTTTCTAGATATTTCTGGCCTCGGGTGGACCAGGGGATGGAGGGTTCTGATAGGCCATTGTGCTATTGGTATTCCCGCTGTAAGCCTATGAATTTCAGCTGATATCATTTTTATCAGTTGTCTAGAGGAAGATGAGGTGGAATCATCTCAACACTTTCTATTAGAATGTCCAGCCTTCACTAGGCTAAGAAGGAAACACTTTGGCTCGCACTTCTTAACTAACCCTGAGCCGCGTTGGAAATGTCGTAATCGGCTGGTGGTGATTCGCCAACTAAGTTAATGGCCTCCCTTCAGTTGTTAGTGATATTTCAATAGACATTCTCATAATTGTTCAAGTGTGTAGTCTAGCCTAACCTAACCTTACTGCCCGTCATGTACTCTCTGTGGCGCTCAGTAGCGTCAGCGAAGCAACTGTATATTGAAGGGGTGGATACACACATTTTTACGTAAACTGCGTTCTAAGAAACTTTGGGGGTATTTAAGACTGACTCTGAATAACTGGCACCTTCTCTGATCGGTTCTTGATGACATTGGTCGGTCCGTCTGAGGTTTGCTTCACTTTTGTTGAGCTGTGCAGTGTGACATAAATGGCCCAGATTACAAAATGTTCGTCTAGCAATAATACCAGAATTGATGTTTGATTGAAATTGAAAATTATTGTTGGGGCAGGACTGCCAACTATCCTTAGCTAAGAGGTGCCATATTGAGGAACAGAAAGTGCCAAATAAGGTATTTTTAATCGAAATAAGATTATTTATATTCTTCCCATTTAGAAATAAAATAAGAACCACGTTTCTAAACTAATAGTGCAATACCAAAATAACAAAAATCAGTTGCATAAACTTTAACAACTAGAATATCTTAGTTGATGGATTTCACAAAATGTTATTGAAATATTATGATATTTCGTGTGGTACAGTGATTGTTGTATGTAATTTGGATATCGCCCAAGAGTTTATAAATATGCTTACTGACGAATTTAGTAGGAAGTGGTTAAGCTTGGAGCAAATGCTACTGAGCATCAGTCGAACAGAAATTTGTGGCTCAGCATTAATTTCAGAGGATGAGACCATCGAAAATGAAGATGAAATCGATTATCTTTCCATTGGAAAATAAGTTCAGATGGAGCTTAAAGATGAGGGTTAAAGAAACTTCTTCCGCTAATCCTGACCTAGATGCATATACATCTTTAGTAGATGAATCTTCCGATATTCAACATTCAGAGAACATAAAGCAAGACTCAGTTCCTTTCAGCAATAATTAATGGACAACTTCACCGGTGGATATCGTATCCCCATAGAGTCAAGAAAATGGACGATGAAGATGTTCTACCCGTTCCGGGACATGACTGTGATAAATGCTTGGGAAATATCAGAAGGATGTTATGAAGCTAGCTGATTTCAGAACTGAGCTTGTTGACACCTTATGCCGGTGAAACAGTTGATAGAAATCCTCCGAGTATGCAGCTACATTGGTTCTCTTTAATCTAAAGCTTTCTTGTGCATAGTTCATATAACCTCAGAGAAGATCTCAAAAGTTTGACCGTTAACCCTGCTTTGATAATCTACGTCTGCCAGACATATGCTTTTTAAGGGTTTCGCTCTCTTTCTTCGCGAAATGAATATTGAAATCGGTGGTATTACCATTTTAAATGAAGAAATTTGAAATAAATGTTCATAAAATTATTATTAGCATAAAATAAAGACAATCAAACCACGATACGTCTCACAGATGATGAAGAGGTAACCTTCCAGCAACTTTAAGTAGGGTTATCTTTCTAAGGTTAAGGAATTTGCCCACCCAGCATTATTTTTTTTTTTGCAAACTTTGACATCTGTCTGTTTGTCTGTTTTTACTTCCCTTCCAGTGGCCTGCAACCTGAGAGTCCTACCTACATAGAAGTTCTGCTGTGTTGGGATCCCCATTTCGCTTCAGTTGTTCTCATACCTTTCATGGTCTGAAATCCACCATAAGTTATCTTTGTTACTGGTTCCTAGTTTATCCAGTACAGTTGGGCAACTGTCTATTAGCCTGGACAATGCTTTGCATGAGACGAAGGCTGGTATTGTCACTCGCGAAGCGAATGAAAATAACGGCGAATTTCGCTGTCTCGAATTGTGAGACGCGAATTTCCAGCGAATTCGCCGCAAAATGGCGAACGGTTGTCGAAAATGAATTTCTTGCATTGCCACTAGCGAAAAGCGACATTCGCTTCGCCAGAGCTGTCTAAATTTGTCGACTGTTTATTTGGTTCGCGTTTGAAATGGAAAGGACGTGAGTAAATTTTAATTTAATTTATTTAATTTTATTTAACAAAACAAAATTTCTAGAACAAAACGGACAACAACGCAGCAGTTCTAAAAGCTGGTTGCAATTATGGAAAACAATCCAGACGTCGCTAGAGGAATGGGAAGCTTCGGTTTCACGAAGAAAAGCAGGGCAGAGCTGTGGGAAAAGTTTGCAACTGAACTTAACGCCATCCAATGCGTAACGGACGCGAGTGGAATAAGGTAAGAACTGAACTAGTTTGTGTTGCCGTAGTTAATTATGAGTACTATTTAGGTTTGGTTGGATTACAAGCTGAAGCTAAAAAAAATAATTGCGACAAACCGACGAGAAACTGTGGCCACAGGAGGAGGACCTCATACACAACAAAGCTTAACATCACTAGAGCGAACCGTTGATGAGCTTCTCCACCTTCAGGAAGCAGTCAACCCAGCAGGCTCTTCATTTGCAACGAACGTGGAAGAAAATGCGGTGAGTGGCAACAGAATTGATTTAGAGGAGCCACTGGGCGAACAAACTCCGGATGCGGATTTGGTACCGCGATCATCAACTCCACGGCCAAGGATGACAGTTGAGGATCAAGAAAGCATTCGGATCAAAGCGTTGGAAAAGCAGGCTGAAGTGCAAGACACACTTTGCGAGAGGATTTCAAATATTGAGAAGAAGCTTGCAGAAATCGCGAGGTATACGAGAAAGACATACGATTTAAAAAAGGAAGAATTAAATTTATTGAAATTAAAGGAAGAAAGGAAGAGGGAAGAAATTTTAGAGAAGAAAAGACAGCATAAGGAAAAGATGGAAATGAAACTAAAGGAGTTAGAACTAAAAACATTAAAATACAGCCAAAAGTAGACTGTAATATTGTTACAAACTACTTTTGGTTGTATTTTCAGGTTTAGTTCCTACTCTTTAGATTCATATCCATCTTTTCTTTATGTTGATTGAATTTGTGATTTTTTTATTTTTATTTATAAAAAATGTGATGAACTAGATTTAAGTTTAATATTTTTTTAACGGCTGAATTTTATTTGTGATTTTTTATTTCAATATATAAAAGCATGTGATGAATTAATTTTAAGCTTAATATTTGGTGAAGGTACTGAATTCAACTTGTGATTTTTATTAAGTTTAAGAGCATAGAAACAATTAGGTTTAATTTAACATGTATATAATAAAGAATTCTGAAGTATAAAATGAAATAAAAAGAACAAAAGTAAGGTAAATGATTTTGAGTTTATTCAATAAACCGAACTGCAATTAATTTTACAACAAAGCATCAGCTATTTGCCTTCTGCGGCGCTCTCCTGATGTATTATTGGCATCTTCACTGATTGGCTCTGATGATACAACGGTGTCAATAAAAATTTCAGCTTCCTCTGGATCACTGATTCTAAATTTCTTACAAATATTGTGGAAAGCGCAACAAATATTTATAATGGATGTTGCTTTAGCAGGATCGTAGCGCATTTTTCGATCACTCAGGAGACATCGAAAGCGACATTTCAAAACTCCGATCGTACGTTCAACGACGTTTCTAGCTTTCGCGTGCTTCTTATTAAAAATTGACTCCCTAGTTCCAGAGTCTGCATGGCGGAAGGGTGTTAGTAAATAAGGACTAAGTGGGTATCCGGAATCACCTATAAATAAGTAGTTTTTGTTTTAAAATAGTATTTACATTAATTTTGTGCCGATGTAACAAATTTAAAGTACCTAAATAAATAGAGTTATGATCGCCACTTTGATGCATATTCTCCAAATAAGTCTTTAATGAACTATTGTTCCACACGAACGAATCATGTGTAGAACCAGCATATCTAGCATCCACAAACCGGATATTCATGTCATGATCGCAAGCCTTTAATATACAATTTGTTTATCAGTGTTGCTGTATTCATTTCTTAAAAACTTACAATCATAGCATTTATACTAAAAAAGCCTTTTCTATTTAGATAGAGGTGTCTATTTGCGGTGGGGGCATAAATCGCAATATGTGTTCCGTCAACACAGCCAATTACGTTGGGTATTCCTGATCTGGAGAAAAATTTGCTCCTTGCCTGTTGCTTCTCTTCTTCTGTCATTTCTGTGATTATCGAAGCACTGCAAATTTCTCTTTCTAAAATGGGCAATGCCTCCTTTAAAATGAGCGAAACTGTAGGTTGCGCAAGACCCAATTGAAATTCATTTCCTGCAGCTTGCTGATAACTGCCATGCGCAAAAAATCTCAGTGCGCAACACAATTTTAGCATTGGCTTTACAGACGAGGACAGGCGGCAATTAAATTTGTCCTTGATTTTGTCCAGCACATACATAAAAGCGTCCTTGATTAGCCGAAAATTCGCTGTAAATCTATAAATACATATTCATATATGCATAAATTTTTCATGTTTCATTGAATAACCTATCTGCACTGGATACTTACACTGTGGACGGCAGCTCCATAGGATTAGAGTAATCTCTAATAAAACGCCGCTGACGAAGAAGGTTAGCTCGCGGTTCAACATTATAACTATCCTCAAAATATAAATCTACGTTATAAAACATTTTTCTTTTCAAATTTTAGTTTGTAATAACAAATAATTCGAAGTATAAATGACAGAAACTTTGTTCTTGGCGAATTTGACAGAGTCAGCTGTTCGTGCGACGTCATTTTAGCAAACTGTTGTATCTATGCAGAGATGTTTATATGTATGTAAGTATGGCGACCTCCACGGTTTGACAGTTAACACTCTTTCTCTCCTCCATCTCCAATTATTCTTTCCTTTATCTACACTATTCGTTGCTATCTGGACGTCATCACACGCAGGAATGCGCAATCTTGTATTCTATCATTCTTGAAATGAAACAACAAGTTATAGCTCAACCAGACACCGACGTAAAACCGTAGACCGTTTCAGCTGACACGACCTATCTTATGGGATTCTCGTGTTAACGAAAACTAACCACCGCATGACGGTGACGTTTTCGCTGCTTCTCTCTCTCTGTCAACAGCGATTTCATATGTTTATACGGTCGACAGGTACGGAAGGGCGCTCCGTCGGTTGCTGGTTGAGCTCTTTAGAGTACATACTCCTTAAGTATTAGATTGTCATTCTTAAAATATTTTGTCATGTTACTAATTTCTTTATTGAAAACCTTAAATTGTTAGGTATGTAGATAATTAGATAATGCGAAATTCTCGCGTTGACTACCAGTGAATTGTGCATGATCGAGGAATAGTGTTCTGGCCCGTTGATTGGTCAAAACAACCTTTCTGACGCTTTGCTGCTCCACGTGAGGACAGAGAGCGCTTAACAGGCAAATCCGATTCACGTACTACTTTAAAGGAAACTTCATTTTTTATTACTTGACCTTTTCCAAGCGGTGAATGTGTAAGTACACGCGAGAGAGGTGACCGCTAAGAGGGCAAAGACATCCGCCTTCCTGTTCTAACACTCAAAAATTCAGCCAGAAAAATTAGAGAACTAACAGCAAACATTACAATAAGCATAAGAAATACAACAATCAAATGCTGCATGCCAGCCGAAGAATGCTCCGAATTATCCGCCAATCGCTTCACGAGTCCTGCTTGCACCGCGTCATCGAATGCTTTGCTCTCATAATGGCTAAACATGCCCGACGAATGCATGCGATAAATGAAGTACTCAAGGCTGCGCTCGATAATGCAGTCGCGCTGTAAGGGAAAAGCGAGAAAAAAGGAGCCGAAGCAAATGTTGCTGAATTTGAAGTAGCCTGGTTTGAGAAACTGTTGCTGCAAGTCGAGAAAATGCCACTTTTCCTCGGTCACAAAGTAGGCGTAGCTTGTATTGAAACTGTACTGGTGCTCTATAAAGGTTGCAATATCCACCGGATGGATTAAACGCAAGAAGCTCTCTGGCAGTTCAATGCCACCGGAATGCAGAAATTCCAATTCATAATCGATAATAAGCACTGTTATGTTCGCTTTTATGAGATCTTCCATGGTGTTGAATTGTGCACGAAATAAGTTGACCGTTAAAATGCTGCCCAGCAGCGAAGTGTAGTTAGCTGTGAGAAAGAAGCCATAGAAGAAAAACGTTGTGAAAATTAGAAAATCCAATACCGACGGCGCACTAAGTGTGCTGGTGGGCGCCGATATGCCAGTACTCAAACAAAAACTGCGTAAAATGCTATCACTTAAGCGTGCCGACAGCTGGTGTGTGCCCTGCAGGCAACACCACAGACACTGCACGAATAGTAGAGCGCCAAACACACAAAGGATGCCGAGCCAAGTTAGATCGTCGAATGGTTCCAACGGATAGAACATTGTCGTGACACTATTCCAAATGGGCACCATTAGACACCAACGCACTACCGTTATGGGATAGCTCAAACCAATGCTATTGTCTTCGTAGAATAAAGAGTAAGCATGCCCCAAGATAGTGATTTGATCGCGACGCAATAAGTCCATGGCGGCTTTCATGTCAATCAGGTCACCACCCAGTCGATCTTTGGGCATTTCGTAGCTAACCAAAGTGGCATTGATGTAGTCTGTGAATAGTTGGAGTAGGCTGAAAATACTGCCCTGCAAATTGGAGATACCGCTTTCACCTGGCGCATGAAATATACCCGGTAAATCCTGACGCAATGGCGTGTATAATTTATAGCCTAAAGTATTCATTCCACCTGCTATGAAACGTTCATAATCAGCTTCCACTTCAACGATATAATTTGAACGATTTTTAATCGTGAATTTTGGAAACGAAGTGTAACCGAAGACTTCATTGTTGCCCTTGGAGTCAACATAATAAAGTATAGCTTTTTGAAAGTGTCGACGATGCAAATCACGCAAAAAGTGTGCCACAACGGAGAAATCCGATATGGTATTTACCATAATAACAAAGTTATACGAAAAGTGAAGGCCTAGCAGTGCGCGATTATGTACGTGCATAATGCGATCGCTGGGATCCGTAGCAAATACAATAGTTAAAATTGTTTTCTTCATCTCCGTTTGGATCAAAGGCACATCGGGACGATGTGTCAGCACTGTTTGTGGCAGTTTGAGGCAGGCGTTCATTTCCAACATAAATTCCTGCAGACCTTCAAAATTTTCAGAGGTCATACGCTCGCTAATAAGCCAACCGATATCTTGTGGCTGTACGTATTGCATGAATGGGAGCAGATATTTCTTAATGTAATCGCGATCCCAGCTATGAACAGGCGAAGCAAGAACAAGTAGTGCAATTTCGATGAGTGTCTTGATGTGGTGCGGAGACATTGCACGCTCTAATAAAATTCGGTGCCGCGTAGTACATCCGAGGATTTGTGCACAAAGTAACCAACTGAAGTGCCTGCTAAACTGCAAGCGTATTCTAATTATACTTTAGCAACTATGTATTTATTGCAAGCTGCATACATACATATATACATAGGAAGCTTAAGCGCTTGCATTTAGTTAGCTTACGTGACCGCGTGCAATTACATTAGAAAATATTTACTGCGTAAACGGTATTTATAGTGTTGACAAAATACAAATATGCAAATACTTAAGTACATATGTATGTACTTATGTGTCCATTGGCGCGTGCCCCACTGACATTTATTTACTTCACAAAACGCCTTATCTGCTTAGCTTCGCCAGCTGTGTTCTACTCATACGTGAATCGATTGTAGCCCACCACCTCCTTGATGCTGCTACGTTTCTTTAAATAATATTCAAGCACAAAAACGCAACAGCTCAGCAGCAGCCCTGTGGCCAAAACAATCCAGGCAATCGTAAAGAAACGCAGATTCAACGGCTCCACAGGATAGGTATCGGTTAAAATTTCTGCATACTTTGCACGCAAAGCTTCATTGAAGGCACGCTCCTCCCATTGTGCCCAAAGGCCCGACTCGCGCGTTAGTAAAATGAATAGGTTTAACGTATCATACCAAGCGACGCCACGCTGCACCGGAATAGATTTGAAAACTGTGCCGAAACAGATCTTCGATAGGTGAAAGTACGGTTGTATTAGTATGCGTTGTTGACGATTCAAAAAATTCCACTGATCTTCGGTTACCACATAGGCATACTCGCGCGTCAATTTATCCAAAATATTTTGAAATTCCTGTCATGGCAGCTCGCTTAATAGATGCGATAGTGTGAGTATATGCTCGACATTACTTTGTTTCAATTCCTCGAAGTCGCTTAAGGTGATCAGCACCTTAATGTCGGCATCCAACAGATCCTCGACTGTATTGATGGGTGGCACGAATACCGGTTTCATATTGTAGGCCGTCAGATAGGGTGAATGATAGGCGGCTATTATGAAGCCGAGTACGAAGAGCAAGGTATAGAAGAACAGCATGCGCACGTGTGCATTCTTCAGTTGTACATTCATGTTGGAACCGTACATTAATATGGCGCTGCTATGTAATATATTTCGCGTTATCGAACGTGTCGGCTTATGCTCGTTGCTCGGATATTCAATATACTTCATTAGTATGGCGATATAGAAAATGCCAAAGAGTAGGCAGGTATAGATGTAGCGATCAAAGGGCCAAACAATGTACCAGTACTTGGGTAACTCATCCTCCAACGGCACCATAATACAATTTTTCACCCAATATAACGGATAGCTGAATTGCACATTGAGCGTGACATGCTTAACCATCGTAGCTCCATTCATCGACAAATTATACTCGCCAGAATCTATGCGTTCATAAATCTCCGTGTAGTTTTCGCTGAGATCACGATTCCATTTCAAATGCATTTGATGCTTGTCGGCGAAATTCCATATTGTTTGGGCATACGGCCCGAATAGTGATGTTGAATCATTAACATTGTTGCGGCTAAGGATAAAGGCGCGAGGCACGTCATCGTAGAAGGGTGTGCTTAGTACTGGTGTATTGTCCGTAGGCATTTTCTTTAGTCGTTTGAGCTGTGAAGTACTTTGGCGCAGTTGCAACTGTTTGAAAGTTTAACTGCGAAGGCACTTTATATAGGCAAATGCTTACCTTGTGTACCACGAAATTGAAGGACAATTTTGAAAAACAGTAAATTATCATAATGTCTGTATGCACATACATACATACTTATGTACATACATATGTATTCAGAAGAGTATGTATATTTCGTCATATATGTAGTGCATATGAGCTTATGCCATTTACATACATACATACATACATATGTATGTACGTGCTATTTACTTTTTGCCTTTCTGCAATTTGCATGTGCCAACTCGAGGTGGTAATTAAGATCGCCAATCGGCTCGACATGGCCAAACAATTGGCCAGAGAAATTCACTTT